ATTCAAGGGGGAGAAGGCTACAACTCACTTCCTCGGAGCTTTCCATGGTCCTGAAGCAGCCAGCCTAAAATCTGACTTGACCTGGGAATGACTGTGCACTCCACATTTGGAGGTCAAATATCCCCAGTACAGTGACGTTCTGGGAAGTCATTTCTGCACGCAAAGCTTGTTATTATGTCTAATGGAAAGGCTGGGTTCACCCAACATCCCGATTTGCCTTTGTTGGCAACCCCACAAGGCTAGATTTCACACCCACGTTTGTGACTGTCTTTGGAACATGCTGGCTTTCCACTGATGGCTCTTCTCCCCAAGGGAAACCAAGGCACGAAGAAGATGCCACCTATCCAGCGTTCCACAGCGGAAAAAGTGGCAGTAATATTGCTAGCTGTTTTTTTTTCCAGTTGAAAAGCAACAGCTCCTAATTCCCTCTTGCCTTCTTAGGAAGGAAATAAATATGACAAAGATTCTCCGAGGCTCAAAAATCCACATTACGCCCAAACATCCTTTCAGAATAGGCAGCTTAGCAAACGGCTGTCCACCATACCTCCTCCTTCTCTGGTACGTCAATTATCACAAAAGTATCACAAAAGTATCACAAAAGTTGAAATCATGGCAACTGGACCAAAGTTTATTAAAACAGAGATGTTTTGTTACTCATCCAATCAAAATGAAAATCATGGGAATGTATTAACTGTTGCCAAACAAGACTGTAGGGGGTTCCTCCCTAAAAGTCAGAAAATAAACTTTTCAGATACTTTCAGCCTGGATGATTGAGCGTTTACATATTGATTTCCATTTTGGGGAGGAACCTATCAGACTGTTTGCAGCGTGACTACCGTTATGAGACAACCCAGGAGCAAAATACAGCGCACAAGAAACTTAGACATTTAACAGTGGATAATATACAAGACCTATCCAGAAATATATGTGGTAGGCAAAATACCTGACAAGCAATCAATCTTCTTCTTATCTCTACACGGAGAACTCTGCAATGAATACCGACACAAGGAGAGAGAACACGCCCTCTAATGGCTGCTTTATATAAACACCTCTTAAAGGGGTAGAACCCATCTTAAAGGGGAAAAAAAACCATACTATGCTGATTCATTCTTATTTCATCAGACTTACAGCAGATGGCAGCTATTACTGCTTCTGGTCAGCTCTTAAATCTTAATACCTCAATAAACTCCCCCCCCCCGCAGTCAATATGGCAAGAGTTAAGTCTATTCCAACGACTTTCTGCCTATCCAAAATTCTCATTTTGACTGAAGACGTTACCCAGATGAGTAAAAAAAAAAAAAAAGCCCCAATTTTAATAAACTTTGGTCCAGTTGTTTTGGTCCACTTTTTGGGGGGCGGCGGCTCTTACCTTGCCTGCGTTTGCGGAGACGGGCTTGTCTCCTCCGGTTCATGACACAGGCGGCCATGGTGCTGAAGATGACTGCCGTGCTCAGGAAGCAGACGCCCCCAATCACACCGGCCAGCACAGGTTGGGGTAGCATCTCAGGGAGCTGGGTGCGAGAAGGGTACACTTCCATCCCTGCGGACGCCAAAGCAAAGCGAGAGCAATCAAAAAAACATTGTCGTTTTTGGCCACTTATCTTCGCGATCCCATGGACCCCACAGCACTCCAGGCTCCTCGGTCATCCATCATCTCCGGAGTTTGCCCACATGCATCTTCCTTGTGTCAATTACAAGTGGACCTCGGCTTTACGGCGGTTTGTTTAGTGACCATGGTTTAGTGACTAATCCAAATTAGTCAGAGAGTAGTTGGCTATAGTTAGTACATTCCAATGATTCTCTAACTCCCTGCCTAGTTGTTTTTTTTAATTCTATTTTGACTAATGAAGTTATTTGGATGAGTAACGAAACATCTCAGATTAACAAGCTTTGGTCCAATTGCCATGATTTAATCGTTGTCAATACATGGATGATTTAGTCTTCGTTTACACACTTCTGATTAAGTGTCCAAAGTATTTGAGCTTCAGCATCTGAATTAAATATGTACCATTCATATACAACACACCAAGCTTGTTTGACACTCATTCAGGCCATTTCTTGTCCAAGGCTCAGCCTATTTAATAAATCGGTAACTAAAGTATTATCAATTATATAAAATATTAAATAACTAAAGCATTACTGAAGTGATACGTCCTATGACAAAAATTAGGAGCAGAGGCAAAGCTAAATCAAAAAAGAGGTTGATTACTGCAAACAAGGGAGCAGTAGGATAAAAAATAAAGAGGGGGATAAATTTTCCTGAGCTAACCTAGTCAGAAACTGTTAATATAATTCGGAATTTTAGAAAAATGAAGAATTACTTCTATATCAACGAGATTTTTTTAGTATAAGGTTTCTCAACTCTGGAAATGTTCAACTCCCAGAATCCCCCAGCCAGCATGCTTTGAGATGGGTGGACTTCAACTCCCAGAATCCCCCAGCCAGCATGCTTTGAGATGGGTGGACTTCAACTCCCAGAATCCCCCAACCAGCATGCTTTGAGATGGGTGGACTTCAACTCCCAGAATCCCCCAGACAACATGGTGGCTGGTTGGGGAATTCTGGGAGTTGTAGTCCACTCTTCTGAAAGTTGCCAGCATTGAGAAACACAGTTTTAGATTCAATCAGACAATTCAATCAAGTTGAACCGCATCCTTGGCTAGGCATCAAGATTGACTAGCCCATCATATGCCAGATGTCGCCGGACTTACCCGTGGTGGAAACATTGACCACGTTACTGGGGTAACTGACGTAGCTACCGGCAAAGGCCATCAGGCGGAACTCATAGAAGGTATCCTGCGTTGGAAAGGGGAAGAATTAGCCGATGGACATTAGGTCCGCCCGCCAAAGTGGATGCTATCTCACCACGACGAGCAAGCAACAGACCAAGGCATTATGCGCGCAAATAAAAATAAAACTGTGGAGGAATAGGGCCAGCAGATAACGCTGAGCTGGATAAAACGCTCTCGTTTTGAGGTTTTATTAATGTTCTCAACCGTAGCAACTTTAAAATGGGTGGACTTCAACTCCCAGCATTCCCTAGTCAGACATAGGAATGCTGGGAGTTGAAGTCCACCCAGTTTCAAGTAGCCAACGCTAAGAAACACTGTGCTTAAATAAATACACTTTTCCTCATGCGAACCCCCATCCCTCTGGGGGCTGAGGAAAAAAACAGGGGCTTGCAAAGGTGGAACTGGGACGAGGCTCACCTTGATGAGTCCAGGCACCAGGAATTGGGTCTCGGAGCTGGGAATGGAGCCACTCAGCACCTCCCACTTCCCCCGATTCTGCCGCAGCTCCAGGGAATATCCCATTAAGGCTGTAGGATCGTGGAGCGGAGGTTCCCACAGGAGAAGGACCCCACGTGTGGTCTCGTTGGACCTCAGGAACTGGGGTGGGGGAAGGAAGACCAGGGAGGCCGTGGTTGGAAGGATGGGGGGCGCAGCCTGAGTGGGGACCCCTGAAAAAGGAAGAAGAAGAGGGTTGCTTTGAGGAAGGACGCAGACTGCTTTGATCTTTCTAGGTCTTCCTCCTTGGCTGACTCTTGCAAAATACAGGTAATCCTTGTCTTAACAACCATTCGTTTAGTGACTGTTTGTTACAATACCGCTGGGAAAAAAGAGAATGATGACCAGTCTGCGCACTTATGACCGTTGCAGCATCCTTACAGTCACATGATCAAGATCTGGGCGCTTAGCAACCCGCATATGTTTACAATAGCTGCAGCATCCCAAATGATCACCATTTGCAACCCTTCCTAGCCGGCTTCCGGCGAGCAAAGTCAACGGGGGAAGCTGGATTCGCTTAATGGCTGTGATTCACTTAACAACAGCAGCAATTCGCTTAACAACCGTGGCTAAAAAAGGGTCAAAAAATTGGGTGCAGCTCATTTAAGAAGATTAACAATGGAAATTCTGGTTTCCACTGTGATCATAAGCTGAGGACTACCAGTGGACTGACTGATTGGCTTTCCACGTCGCTTGTATGTGGAGGAAAGGCACGCTGGCACGGTGCAGTACGTTTGCCTTTTCAACCATGCACCCCGAGAGGGAAGTCAGAAACATTATGAGGGCACCCCCTGGCACGATGAATCCATATCCATCTTATTAATAAAGGTTAGAATGTAGGCCTGATTTTGGTGATCAATGAGTGATCCATTCCTGAAGGAGCTGCAGTCCCGGGAAAGAGGGACGGGTGAGAAAGATACTCAAGCAAATTCTGCCTTGATTTTCTTCTGGGACAAAGTCAGCCCAAAATTCTGCGTTTACGACAGGCAGTTCCTCGATTTACAACAGTTTGTTTTGCGATCTAAGTGCCAGTTACAATGGCACTGAAAAAAAAGGGTTGAATTTGTGTTATCGACAAACAAATAAAGGGAAACAAATTGTCGCGAAAGCACCTCCCTGCGTCCTTTCTGCTCCTGGATTGGGGCTGAAAGGAGAAAGCGGAAGCAGTAGGCCCCGTCCCCTAATTGGGTAGACCAGGTTGCCCTGGTAAGACTGGTCTCACCGGAAAAACACTCGCTGAAAAAAAGTGACCGATGACCGTTTTTCATACTTACGATCCGTGATCACGCAATCAAAAATTCGGACGCTTGGCCAACTGAGTCATATTTATGATGGCTGCATTGTCCCAGGGTCACGCGGTCCCCTTTTACGACCTATTGACCCAACAAATTTAATGGGGAAGCCAGATTCACTTAACAACTAGATGACTAACTGATCAAATGCGGCGATTCGCTTAGCTGCGGTGGCAAGAAAGGTGAAGCGAAACTCAACTTAGCAACTGTCTCGCTTAGCAAACAGAACTTTTGGACTCCATTGCGGTCGACTTTGTGTTGAGGACTTCTTGTATTTCTGGATCCCCCTTGGGACTCTTTCTTGACCTAGTCAACAGCCTAGAACAGTGGTGGCTAACCTTTTTGGGGCTCCTGCGCCAAAAATTGCACACACACCAGCGCACATGCACTTGCATGCAGCACCCAGTATGCAATGCGCCCCCCACACCCCCTGCCCATGTGCACGTAATCCCCAGCCCCCACCCCTTTACCTGCACTGCGCCTCACAGCTGATTTTTCGGCTGGTTTGAGGCCTTTTTCAGCCTTCCAGAGGCTTGGAAAAAACCTTTTCAGGATGAATTATAGGCCCATTTCATCACTTCCGGTATTACAGGAAGTGACGAAATGGGCCTATAATTTGGCCTGAAAAGCCTTGCAAAAGCTTTTTCCAAGCCTCTGGAAGGCTGAAAAAAGGCCTCAAACCAACTGGAAAAATCAGCTGTGAGACACGCACACACACAATGAGGTACCTTTGCTACGGCTCGCATGTTGGTGCAAATGGCTCTGTGTGCCACTTGTGGCATGCGCGCCATAGGTTCGCCATCACAGGCCTAGCTATCCTACCTATCTCCTTTGTCTATGCTAACCAGAACCCCGGTTATTAGAACTGGAAGAAACCAGCCTCCCGCCCCCGAGCATAGCGGTTACAGCTTCTCACCCAGAGGCGCGATGGAGAGGATTTCACTGAACGGACCGCTGCCGAGTTTGTTCTGAGCCAAGACGCTGAACTGGTAGCTCATATCTGGCCGGAGGTTCTCCACCAGGATGTGGGAAGCCCCCACAGGCACCGGCAACGAGGCCCAGTCGTGGTGGGGCCGGTTCAGGCGTCTCAATCTACCATTCAAACAAACAGCGTGATGTCACAGAAGGAAAGTTTGATTTCTACCAGGGTTGCCCAAGTTGGCGGAAATGGCCAAACGGGACCCGCTTTGACAAAAAGAAAACAACGCAAGTGCTTTTCGTTTCCACGTGGAAGCCGCTTCTTTTCCACATTCTCTTCCACGTGGACAAGAATGTAACTCCGACTTTGGGTTTTACAGATTAGATCGATAGATCTTTATAGAATCGACTCGCTCGCACCATGATGGAAAAGCAAAAAACTGTGATTTGTTGTTAATGCCTTGTTTCACTGCAACAGAGTCAGAAGTCAATGCTTCTTTTTCTCTTCCCTGCCCTCCCACCAAGGGACACGGTGGCTCAGTGGCTAAGACGCCGAGCTTGTCGATCAGAAACGTCGGCAGTTTGGCGGTTCAAATCCCTAGGCCTCATCACGGAGCGAGCTCCCATTCCTTGTCCCAGCAGCTTCTGCCAACCTAGCAGTTCGAAAGCACGTTCAAAAAAAAGCAAGTAGAAAAATAGGGACCCCTTTGGTGGGAAGGGAACGGCGTTCCGTGTGCCTTCGTCGGTTAGTCATGCTGGCCACATGACCGCGGAGACGTCTTTGGACAGCGCTGGCTCTCCGGCTTTGAAACGGAGATGAGCACCGCCTCCTAGAGCCAGAAACGAGTAGCACGTATGTGCAAGGGGAACCATTACCTTTTACCTATCTTTCCTCTCTTCACTTCCCCTTTTCCCCTCCCACTGTTCTTCTATTTACTTTCGTATTTTATAATACTCTATAACTTAATACAACTTTTTTGAAACAAAAGTGTGTTTAAAAAAAAGAGAAAAACATGGAGCCACCCCACCCCCACCCCAATGCCAGCTTAAAACAGAGGGACGAATTTCATACAACAGAAATGCAGATGGAATTTTTGGATGACACCTCTGGATAGTATTTTTAATATTGACAGAAAGAGAGAGGGAAATAGGACAGCTGAGACGGAGACAGAGAACAGCCCCAAAGACTTACATTGGCGTGTACCAGATGCTGAATCTCTGGAAATAACCCCCATCAAACCCTGGTTCCCAGGTTACATTGACTGCTTGTCGTAGGGGCCACACGGACACGTTGACCACGGCGTGGGGACTGGTACCTGACATGGGGGGGAGAAAGGGAGCTGCATCAGTTAATTCAGCGGAAGGACATCAATAAAGAGATTTAAGGGTGTGATTTTGCCCGACAGAATTTCGGGGTATAACAACAGGTAGTTCTTGACTTACAACCATTCGTTTAGGGACTGTTTGAAGTTACAATGGGGAAAAAGTGACTGATGCCTGTTTATTCACATTATGATCTTTGCTGCATCCCCCTGGTCACGTGATCAAAATCCAGAGGCTTGGCAGCTGACTCGTATTTATGACGGTTGCAGCGTCCTGGGGTCCCCTTTGGATTTGGGGCTTGTGATGTTGTGCATTGGTTGGGATCAATTGGGAAACTGTAGGGTGAATTTAGGGAAGGTTTTTAGTGAATCAAATCTATCAGATTCGTTTGGTTGCCTTTTTTTGTGTGTGTACCAAAAAAAAAAAAAAGGTAACTCTCTTATAACCTCCCTGACTGGCATTTAAAAAATAAAAATAAAAATCACAGCATCCAGCATGATAAAGTATGAATAGAGCTGTCTTTTAGGGAGGTGATCGCCAACTAATGGGCTGGGAACCACTGGTGGTCCACGAGAAAATGTTGGTCGTCTGCAGAGTCCGCTGCTGCTTTCTGCTTTTTTCTTCTTCTGCTTTTGGCTGCACGCAAGGAAAGCAGCCAAAGTCTTTCTTTCTCTCCCCCAAACTCCTCCAGAAATGAGTCTTTGGGACCCTGCAAGGCCTCCTGCTCCAAGAGGCTGTGCCGGCACGACAAGTCTCATGAAGACTCATTTCTGGTGGAGTTTGGGGGAGAGAAAGGAAGATTTCTGCTGCATCTGCTGTTTTCCTTGCATGAAGCCAAAAGTCTCTCTTTCTTTCTCTCTCTCTCCCCTCCACTCCGAGAACGGAGCTGGAGACGATATCCAGCGATCCCAAATAAAGAACAATCGATCGGTAGGAGAACAGGGTGGGGAATTTTCCTGCAGACTTTTTGGGGGATTTTCCCAGGGTCTCTGGTCCTCAGGATTTAAAATTATGAGTTTGGTGGTCCCTGAGGTCCACAAGGTTGGCGACCCCTATTTTAGGGTACAACTAATCTGGAGTTTTCCTTCCATTGTTGACTCTGATGAATGGGCAAGACCTCCACTTAATGACCGTAATGGAGCCTGCCCACTATGTCTAACTTAACTACTGCAGTGATTCACTTAAGAACTGCGGGGAGAAAGGGAATAAAACGGGGCAGAACTCACTTAAGCACCGCCTCCCTTAGCCACGGAAATTTGGGGCTCAACTGTGGTTGTTAAGTCAAGGCTCAGGCGTACTTCCCAATCACAACGAGCGTCCTGCCCCGTTTAGTGACCACGGAGGACACCAAGAGCAAATTGGATGCACCTGCTCGAACACGACGGTTCCTCGCAAAAATTGTCTTGAAACCGAAACGTTTCTCAATAGGGTCCCAGGTGGTTAGGGACCTCAGCTGCCCTGCCCTCTGAGTTGAGAACTCACCCAAGACGTAGACAGTGGTGGTGGCACTAACCCTGGCCACGCCGTTGTTGGCGGCACATTCCCACAAGCCATGCTGTTCCTTCGTCAGTGGCTGCAGGATCAGGCTGCCGTTCGTGCCCACCTGCGCGTTGGCCAGGGTCTTGCTGCCCACCTGCCAAACGAACAAAGCAACCCAACTGTGTTACATACAAGAAAGTCCTCCCTTAACGGCCCGCATCGGGAACGGCATCTCTGTCGCTCTGCAAAGCGGTCATTTAAGTGATATTCCCCCCTTGCCCCCAAGTTTTAATATTCTGTTTTGAGAGGTGACAGCTGGGTAGGTTCGGCATGCAACAGGCAGTCTTAAAAGCTCAACTTTTTTAAACTACCAAATCTATGCACCTCTGTATGGTTTGCCAATTGCACCAGGGCAGATACCGCAGCGCTCCAGAGGGTGAACGTTATTGCCCAGATGATCATTGGTTGCCCTGTCACCTCTTGATAGCTCCTTCTGCCTTAAGAAAGTTCAAAGAATCCTTAAAGATCCATCTCATCCTGGGCACCCTTTTTTGAACTATTACCACCTGGCAAACGGTACAGGATAATCATAAAAACAAGGAGAAATAAGCTGAAAAACAGCTTCTATCCCAGTAACTCTATTGAATTCTACTGTATAGTAAAATATTAATACAATATCTGGGGTTTTCAATTCAATGTATAGAATGCGAAGGATGTGGGTTTGTGTTTTATTTTCTACTCACAATATACACTGAAAACGGTACTTAATTTCATTGTACAAGAGGCAATGACAATAAAACTAAAAAATTCCAGTTCTTAAGCGAGACATTTGTTCAGTGGTTGCCCTCTCCCCTCTTTGGAAGAGCTTTAGAGCTCCCGCTGCCTTAAGAAAGTTCAAAACATCCTCCAAGATCCATCTCATCCTGGGATCCTTTTTTTTTTTTTAACTATTACCCTCTGGCAGACGGTACAGGATAATAAAAAGAGGGACAAATAGGTTGAAAAACAGCTTCTATTCCAGTAGTATAGTATAGCAGTAGCTCTATTGAATTCTACTGTATAGTGCAATATCAATGCAATATCAGAGGTTTTCAATTCAATTGTATAGAACGTGAAGGATGTTTGTTTGTGTTTATTTTCGTAGTCATAAATTGTACACTGAAGGTGTTATTTAATTTCATTGTACAAGGTGCAGTGACAATAAAGTAAAGTAAACTCTCAGGAACTGTCCAGTTTGTGCAAAACTAATCTGCGACTCACTTTCGTCCAAGAGGTGATGGGTTGGGGGTCTCCTTGAGCCACGCATGGAATTAGCAACTCCCGACCCACCTCCTGGAAATATTCCTCTTTGGGCCGAAGGGTGAACGTGGGAGGGTCCTGAAAAATTGTATTCCACAGAAAACATACACCGCCGTTAAGAAGAGAATACAGAAGTTGTTCTTAACTTAGTTGGAAGGGACCTTGGAGGTCTTCCAGTCCATCCCCCTTCTCTGGCAGGAGACCCTATACTAGTTCAGACTTCAGTCTTGTCTCTTCTTAAATCTCCAGTAATGGAGCACCTACAATTTCTGGAGACAAGCCATTCCACTAATTGTCCTAACTGTCAGGAAATCCCACCATAGTTTGATGTTATTTCTATCTTTCCATCCATAAGTTTCCATCCATTTCTTCTTGTCCTGCCTTCAGATGCTTTGGAAATTAGGTTGATCCCCCACTTCTCTGGGGCAACCCCTCAAATATTGGAAGACGGCTATCGTATCACCCCGAGTCCTTCTCGTTGTAGAACTGGACACACCAAGTTCCCATTTCCCACAACCGCTGAGTATATGATTTAGCCTCCGAATCCTTTTTCGTTTGCCTTGCTCCTCTCGGCACTCTTTCTAGAATCTCAACAACTTTTTTTTATGTCGCGGTGACCAAAACTGGACATGGTATTCCAAGTATGGTCTAATCAGGGCAGCAGAACATTTCCTAGAAAAACCGCCGATAAACGGCTTAAATGGGAGTTGAAATCCACGCGTCTCAAAATTGCCAGAGTTGGGTGATCTAGAACCCACACATCTCTGCCGGCACTACGAGAGATGGAGACGCCTCGAATGTTTTATGGAGAGTTCATTTTGTCCTCCCTCCCCCCTCCTTTCTTTCATTCTTTTTTTAAATTTTTAAATAAACTTTTTATTAAATGTTAAAAAGATATATACAAAATACAAAACATTTCGTTAAAAACAAAACCAAAAACATAGGACATATAAATTTCAAATTGCTTAGACGGTGCTTTCTTATCAAACAATATTCCAATACTTATTTCATATATCTGGTTAATACTCTTATTATAACCTCTTTATATTTTCCCTTCCTTATCTATTTACTAGCTGGTTTCTATTATTTATCCAATTATACAAGTTTTCCCAGACTGTATAATATTTTGAGTCTTCCTTTTCTTTTAGTTTTAGGGTAAGTTTGTCCATTTCAGTGCAATCGAAGACTTTTTGGATTATCAAATTTTCTACTGGCATTTGACGATCCTTCCAGCATTGTGCAAACACTACATTTTATTCCTTTTGCGTATTCACCTTTTATTATTCCCAATAAAAACATTTCTGCCCTAAATTCTGATTGAATTTTCGTAATTTCTCTCATCCATATTCGTATTTTTGTCTCGCAATTTCTTACTCACTTTGAGGAGAGCCCGGGTGGGTGTGGAAATACCAGCTGTTCCAAAACTGTTGTACGGGGTGCAGGCGTACACGCCCAGGGCGTCATCGTTGCTTGTGGCGATGATTATCGTCCCATCGGTTTTCAGGGACCAACCTGGGAACTGCAAGAGAGGGAGAATGCAGGGGCTCAGAAAAAGAATGGGAGAAAACACCAAAAATGCTTGGGGGTGGGGGAAGAGGGTGCCCCAGCCTCCCAAAACGTACCTTGCCAATCTCCAGCGGCTGCCCGTCTTTGATCCAGCTGACCGAGAGCAGGGGAGGGTTAGCTCTGCTGGGGCACCGGATTATGCCTTGCATACCAATTGGCAGAAAGGTCTCTGGAGGCATCTTAGCGACTTGAGCTGGGTCTGTTCAGGTGGAGGACAGCTTGGGGTCAACGGTGGGATGGCGAGGTCAGGGATATTAGGGAGGGAAGCTAGAAGGACTAGGGGGTAACCAAAGGAGGGTGTCATGTCCCTGTTGGAGTCTGAATCCGAGGAGGAAGACGAACAGCTGACACAGGGAGTGGGAGTGCGGCTCCGTTGGCTGTGGAGGTGGCTGTAGAAGGGCAAAGTCCGGCTGGGCAGAGCAGGGGGGAGGAAGAACAAGGGGAGAGGGAGTTCAGAGGAAGACCCAGGCCCACGCACCCCTTCATCCTAGGGCACGCAGGGAGGAACGGAGAAGGGAGCAACGTGGGTTGCGTGGCTTACGGGGGAGGAAAGGGCCCTGATTCCCTTCATTAGCCGCAGCTGGGAAGAGAGTTTAAAAGAGATGCAGGCTGAGTGTGGCATCTGCGGGGAACAAACGTGAGTTTATCTTGTGTTGACTTTGTTCCTGGCATCCTCCCAACTGTGTTGAATTACTGCTGTTCCTTCACATCTGGAATTCCTTCTCCTGCCCTGCCGGACTAATTACCTCATCTTGATTGGACTTATAGTTAGTTTGTGTTGACCCTGTTTTGGACTTGATTCTCTGCAACCAAAAAGGCTGTTCCTGGGAGTTTTTTCTCCAGCCCAGAAGGTAACCAGGACATTAGGGGCAAAGTTGGAGCTAATAAAGGGACTCTTATTGCTTATCTCAGTGGCCCCCAACCTTTTTTGAACCAGGGACCAGTTTCACGATTATTTATTCTTCCATGGACCGGTACCTGAGTAACACGAGACTCCACCGCCATCAGGACGGCTCTTCGTTCGAAGCCGCCCCCCCCCCCTCGACGAAACTAAGGCGTGAGCACCCAAACGCCGCTTTCCAACTGAAAAACTGGAAGCACTTTCCAATCAAAAACCCGGAAGCAACTGAAAACCCGGAAGCGCCGTCAAAACAAGATGGTGGCGCTCAAGCTATGCGGCCCGGTAAAAAATGATCCACGGACCGGTACCGGTCCAGGGACTGGTGGTTGGGGACCCCTGGCTTATCTGACTGTGTTGCCTTTGTGCCATGCCCCAGGTCATCACAGAGGGGTTTGGGGATTGGGAGAACCCTGGGACTAGGATTGTGAGCCCAAGGGGTGGACTAAGAAGATAGAAAGAATGTAGATCTCGTGAAAAGGAGTTGATGGCAGAGGTGGGATTATGAGATGAAGAGGTGGACAGAAAGTAAGTGGCAGAACAGGAGGACAAGGAGGCTGAGGTCCCTGGGACTAGAACCACGAGGTCAAGGGGTGGACCATGAAGGGGTGGTCCATTATTCTGTTAAAGACTTGAATTAGGCTATTGGCAAAGTGCTGATATCATTGTTTGGGTGTAATCTTGCCACTATTAAATGGTGAGATTCCTTTGGGTGTGTGTGTGTGTGAATGAATCCAACGGATACCCCACAAAATGCAAAATAAGGAAAGGATATCTCTTCACCTCAAACCCCATTCAGGTCATTTTCTACGGTACCAGCGAATGATCCGAGGTAACGAAGATACGATCGTAATTAGGCAGCACTTACACAGAACCGTAAGGAAGGCAGAAGCGGATGGCGATTTCCAAAGCCCATTGCTGGGAATGCAAGTATATTTTCCCGAATCTTCCGGGGTCGATTTCTGGACCAAAAGGCTTCCATCCACCAGGATTTGAATCCGTGAGCGGAGATGGCTGGAGGCCAGGAAGGAAAAAGGAAGTCAAACGGGAGAAGCATCGAGAGATAGCCGTATTGTCATTCTAGATCAGGGGATCTCCAAACTTGGCCACTTTAAGAGAGAATTCTCTCTTTTTTTTGTTTTCCCTTTTCCTTTTCTTACTGTTGTGGCCTCTTGGCCATCAGCCCCTCCAAGTCAGGGTCAAGTATCAAGACAACCTGAGAGCTCAGAGGGGGAATGGAGACGGTAAAGAAACAGAGGTGGAGCCTGAGCCGTCCGTCAGCCCTCAGGTGGAAAGTCAACAGCCCCCAGGTCTGGAGGTGGCTGATGAAGAAGAAGAGGGACACCGGGTCCAGTGCCTGATACACGGATGTGCAGAAGGCCGAGAGGAGAGGAGAGAGTGGAAATCTATGAGCCGGCCCTTGGGATGGAAAAGCCACTGCTCCTAGCAAAGCCCCACCCTAGCTCTGGGGATCAAAGGCAGGGGGCGGAGATAAATAGGTGTGGTAGACAACTGTTCATCTCCCTGCCAGACAGACTTGTCAGCCTGTGGCGTGAGAGAAACTTTTTGCCGGAACTGCCGGCGCTCCTAATAAAAGAAACCGTGGATTTAAAGGTTTGTCGTGTTTGGGGAGCTGGATCAGAACACTTACCTGAGATGGAAGACGTTGGTGCCGCCCTGAAACCAGCTGTAGGTGAGATTGGCAGGATAGGCTTCAGCTCGGCAAGCGAAAAAGGCATCTTGGCTGAGGTTGACCGTGACGTCCTTGGGAGGGACCACAATCACCGGTGGCCCTGGCAGAAACAGAGGACGGAAAACTCGTAATTTCTGCAGAAACTGAGCAGAACAGAGGTCATTAAATGAATGGCTGCAAGTTGAAGACAGCCTCTCGATCTAACCGGAATGCTAGCCATTTAAAGTGATGGTCCAGATGTTTCTTGGATACAGGTAATCCTGTATCCAAGAAATCCAGTTCATTTAGTGACTGTTCAAAGTTGCAAGGGCACTGCAAAAAAAAATGACTTACGACCACAAGTCACCACAATCGTTATCAACCTTTAAAGTCCCTTCCGACTGATTGTATGGTTCTTCTTTTGGTTCATTAACCTCTCCAGGTCAGGAAGGACTTACCTTGGACGAGGAGGCGGGTCGTGTGAATGAGCCCCCCCTCTTGATTGGTGGCGTGGCAGGAATACAGGCCAGCCGACGTCCGTTCGACTCTAGAGATAAAGAGAGTCCCATTTTTCACCTGGAAAAAAACCAAACATATGGGTTTAGGCTGACCTGTATCCTGCTGAAGACAACTCGGTCTTCAGGCCACTGGGCGGAACAACGCTCTGATTTAACACAACGTTCTGATTTAACGGATCTCCATTTAATGGATTTTGGATGGAGCAGGTCAGGTATCCACACAGACTCACTTAACAACTTCCTTGTTTAGCACTGGAAATTCTGGTCACCATTGTAGTCGTTAAGTCAAGGATTACCTGTGTGCCATTTTCTAAACGGATGCCAAGGATGTACTTTTGTATTTAACGGACCATTGGGAATAACAGACCCTTCCTTTCAATTAGGCGGTTCAATCCAGGTTTTACTGCAAACAGAGTGATCCCCAACCTTTCCAGCTTGGAGCACCAGTTGGGGGGGGAGGGGAGGGTCCCACCACTTGCACAAGTACAGTTGTGCGCACACTTGTCCGCTGTTTGCGTGGCCCAGTTGCTTAGGGACCCCTGCTATAACAGACACGCCGGAAACAACACACCTGCATTTCATTGCCATTGTCAATGGTTTGGCTGTCTCTCTTCCAAGAGACGAGAGGCGGTGGGTTGCCGGTGGCCGAACAGGAGAGGGTGACAGATTTTTGGTCCTGGATTTCTACCAAGGCTGGTGGGGTCTTCTGGAAGACAGGGGGAGCTGCAAGACAAGATTGAGGAAAGCATAGAAACTACGGTTTTAAGATTCCCACGCTCCATTCTTTCATCTCTCTCTCTCTCTCTCTCTCTCTCTCTCTCTCTCTCTCTCTCTCTCGTCTCTACTCTGCGCTGTTCAAAATCCCAAATTTTGGGGGTTTAACATCCTTTTGGAACAGACTTCGTCGTGGATATTAGAACCTTATAGCACGACTGGGTACACTTCCTGCTGGTCACCGTCAACCGCCGAGATGAAATTCTTCTGCTTTGTGGACGATTTTAAATCCAAGGCTGCTGCCCACCCACTGAGAGGGGTCTCCCCCCCCCCCCGCTCCCCCTGTTCAAGGCTGGCCATCCACAAAGCAACAATTAACCAGGGAGGAGATTACAAGGGAGGTTTAGCAAAACAGCACCAACAAGGATTATGTTCAAAGCAAGACGGCAGATGGCAGGTGAGGTCAATAATCAAGAGCGACGTTTGTAGGGCAAGAAACCCTTGGATCAACATGCGCGTGTCTGTGTGTGGGTGTGAAATGGTCACAGCCTTTTTGCAATGGTCACAGTCTTTGCTAAGTCCCTTTTCTGGTCTGCTTTGAAAGAAAAAAACAGTTGCTTTTTTTTTTTGCAAAGGAAAGAACAAAATAAAATGGGTAAAGTTTTTCCAAAGTAGGAAACTTATGGAAGGGAGTATTATGTGCCAGCTCCCCTCTGCTATCTATCTGCCTGCCTGCCTGCCTGCCTGCCTGCCTATCTATCTATCTATCTATCTATCTATCTATCTATCTATCTATCTA